TAGCGGATGTCCTTTTCATTAAGTGAAACATAATGTGTTTTTAAACATCCTTTTACCCACATGTGACCAAAAAATGTTTTCTGTGTCTTGGGCCAGAGGTCCTTGAACTTTCTGTGCTATATAGCATGAGCCCTAAATTCTGTGGGGCAGAACGACCACCTCAGCTCTAAAGTCCCCTTGACCAAACATCCCCAGGACAGCTTACATGATGGCTCCGGAGGTACTTGGAAGTATAGTGCCTGGCAGTCACCCGCTGTTAATGCATAGTGATGTCACAGAGAAGCTTTGAGGGCTCTTGTTCTGTATTCTGTTTTCCCTATTGAAAGAAAAGACAACCAGGGCTCCAGCCATGGTGGCACAAGTGGAAAGATGCCATCGGAAGTGGCTGAGCCTGCATGCCAGCTCGGTTTGCTTCCTGGCCCACCCTAAAGCAGGCTGGTGTGGTGGTATGCCCCTGCATTCCTAGCCAACCGGGAGACTGGGATAGGAGGAGCACACTGTGGGGAGACCTTGCCAGAAGTATCTTACCAGTCTCCCTCCCTCTGACTCCCTCATCCCTATCTGAAGGAAAAAATCTAGCCCTCTTAATTCTGAACCATATCAGCTTGAACCTAGATCTTGTAAGATATTTTTATTTATATATATATATTTTTTTTTTGAGAGGTTTTTGCTATAGGGAGTGTGCGCTCGCCAGACAGACAGAGACATAGAGACAGAAAGCGAGAAATCACTCCCCAGGGGGGATGGCCATGCCGCAATCCCTTCTCCATTCTCCTCTCGGGATCTTGGGCACACACGCACACGCGCCCAGCGTGAGTTTTAAGCCACCGGGTCCAAGACTCGAACCGTGGTTGACTATGTGGGAGTCCAGCGACATAGCCATTACGCTAACTGCTGGTCCCCTATTTTTTAATTTATATTTTTAAGTTTCTTTACTTTTTTCTTCCTTTAAAAGTTTTTGCTTTATATAAGGCACGTGTGTTCACCAGAGAACTAGGAGGAGAGAGAGAAAATGAGAAATCACCCCTCTAGGGAAGATGGCCATGCCAGGCTCTCTTCCGTTCTCTTGGAATTTTGGGCATGCACACTAATGTTCCCAGTTTTTTTCAAGCCACCAGGTTAGGGGCTTGAATCATGGAGTTGGCCAGATGGGATCCAGCTGCCTTAATCACCATGCCACTTGCTGGCCCAAGAATATTTCTTTCTTTTGTGTGTGTGTGTGTGTGCGTGTGTGCGTGTGTGTGTTTAGGTTTTTGCCATAGGGCATGTATACTTGCTGGAGAGAGACAGTGAGAGGGAATGTGAACAGTCATTCCCCGGGGGGGGATGCATTCCCTTCTCCACTCTCCTCCTGGGGCACGCTCACACACTGAAGTGAATTTTACCCCTCCAGTTCTGGGACTTGAACTGTAGTCGGCCTTGTGGGAGTCCAGCACTTTAACCACCATACTACCTGCTGTCCCCAGAATATTTCTTAATGGACTAAAATGCAAAGTACTGTAAGTTATGCACAGCCAGGTCTGACTACTTGAAAATACCATATTTTAAACTATTTTCATTAAGGGCTCTCACAGCTTCATGAAACAAGTGAGAATGAACAGGGAGAGGCTATTAGAAGCAGCTTACTAAACAGTCGGGTCTCATATATGAGGTGCTATCTGGAATTGGGCTTCTCCCCACCAACTGTGACTCCAAAGTTAGTATCTTATCTCATAAATATTTCATCTCTCTCTGTCTCAGTGGCTGGGAGGGACCTGAGTGTGTGTCAGTCTGGGCGGTGAGCACTTGGTCGAGGATGTGTGGTGGGACACCCAGCACGCTGGAGGGAGAAGCCATGCTCAGCTTCCTGCTGGGATTGGATCTTGATCCTGAGCCCGTTACAGTGACTGGCCTCAAAAAGTAGAGTACCTTCTCTAGGTAGTGATGGTGGAAGAGAAAGAATCCCAATTATTTATTTTGCTTTCGTATTGTATTCACATTCTATACAGGAAACAAACTACATAGTAATTTGAACAGGGAAAGTTTATATGAAGAAGTACTAACTATGTGGACACTACAGTCTAAGGAGAAGCCTAAAGAAAACAGTAATATTAGATAGAAGGGGTGGCTGTTAGCCCTAGGGCTGAGGCCGAGCACCCAGGGGTGGGACGGGTTGGGGAGAACCCACTCCCCCCACCCCTCCCTCCCCACATACACAGGATGAGATCTAGATCTCCCCAGAGAGGTTCCAGCGTGGCCCGTTGGATGGCAGAGCTGGCCACTGAGGTGTGGTGGTGTGTTGGCGGGGCTCTGGGCAGCTGTCCACAGGGAGGCGCTCTGCGATGGGGCTCCCTGCCACGGACACAGCTCACGGGGAAGCTGCCTTCTGGAGTACAAAGGGAGCTGCCCCTCAGAAAATGCCACGTGCTGCTGCCTCTCAAGCTGCTGGCTGCCAAGGGGGGTGCTCCAGAGTCCGGAAGAGAGCTCTTTCCTCGTGCCTGCCCTGGAGCGCCTGGAGCCCTCCATCAGCCAAGCTTAGTGTCTTGCTAGCTGGCAGAGGGGGCAGTGTCTGAAGAGTCTTCCCCCATTGCCCAAGATAATGGAACTGAGGTGATAAATGACAGTGACACACCTATTATTGGTCTAAGTGTTTTCTACTTCCTCCTGTAATGATTGTAATGATGGCTTTCCTTGTAAATAAATATTCACGTGTATTTTGCTGTTCAGCTCATTCATAAGAAGCTTGCCCTGCTAAAGCACATTCAGAGATATGATCATCAGTCCTTCAGTTTTGCTGTTTGCTTCTGTATGCATGAAGTAGCTCTGGAAGACCATGAGACTTGGATTTTCTTTAGGGAAGGCACTGGGAGAACATCTATTCATATCACTGAAAATTCACAAAAAATATTTTTTGTTCATATGAATGCTGTACGTGTTAAACTCAGCTTTGTTCATGTTTAATTTCTCAGCGTGTATGGTTTATTTTTAAAAATTGTCCTTTTTTGGGACCAGCAGTTAGCGTAATAGCTATGTTGCTGGACTCCCATGTAGTCGGCCGCGGTTCGAGTCCCGGACCCGATGGCTTAAAACTCATGCTGGACGCGTGCGCGATTGTGATGTGACCATCCCCCCTGGGGGGTGATTTCTTGCTTTCTGTCTCTCTGGCTCTCTGGCGAGCACATGTGCCCAATAGCAAAAACCTCTCTTAAAAAAAACAATTATCCTTTTCTAACAATTACCTTCTGTCTACCAAAGGCACTGATTTTCTGACCTATATTTTGACAGTTTGCAGTTCAAAGTGAATCAGGATATTTTCATTTAATTGTACTTCCTTTAACACTGTCAAAACTTGGTTATCCATTTCCTTTGTCTTTTTGACCCTTGCATGGCATTTGATGTGACAGTGACCACAGTTGTCAGCTTCTCCAGCACTGTCCTGCCAAACTGGGTTACAGTGCCGGGCATTAGGAGATTGTGGGAGTAGCAGGACTGTCATAAAGAATGCTAAAGACGAAGCTCAAATACTGCAGATCCCAAGTTTTAGGGTTCTAAATCAGAATGTTTTAATTCTCTTGCTGTTTTTATAATGAAGCCTTTAAAACAGACCTAAGTTCTTAACAATGATGATGGTTATTTTAAGAAATACTTCCCTGTATCTACTTGTAGATAAAGGCAGAATAAAATAATACTGAAAAGTGTGGCTATACATTTAGTTGTCTTAAAATACTCGAAAACTATTTATAGCACGCTGCTCAAGGCTGAGCGCATCGCACTGCCACATGGCCAGCCGCTACCGCCGCGGCACGCCCCGGACCTTCCCCCAGCAGAGGTCCCAAAGTGAAAAGCAGACCTCTTTGGAAGTAAGGAGGGAAATGCATTTACAAGACACCACCAGATTCTGTCCAAAGGAAGAAAGAGAAAGTGAACAAACATCTTTCAGCAGCCAAAATCCCAAGCAAGACCGGAAAGGGGGCTTCTGCAGCTCTTTAAGAAGTCCAGTGGGTCAGAGTACAGGGAAAAACTAACGAGAGTCCCTTAGTGGGTCCTTCACCCACAAATCGAGAGTTCTTCAGAAACCGACTTGCTCTTGCAAATGACCTTGACCAAGGAACAGCCGTGTAAAACAAACTTAGAGTTGTATTGTCGAGTGGGAAGATGAGAGTAAAAAGCTTGTAAATACCTGTTTTGGAATATGTGTGTGTGTATGTGTATATACATATATACACATACACACATGCACATGTACATACACAAACTCACATGCACACACACACATTTATGCACACACATGTGTACACATGTGCACATACACCCTTGTGTACACATGCATACACATACACACGTGCATATACACACATGGACACATATACACACATACACACTCGTAAGTATACAAATGCATACATAGGAAACTAAGTCAACACACGAGACATTGAAGAGATGAAAGTGAGTCTATGTTTAAGACCTTGCTATATTTGAACCTCAACACTTGGAACAAGGGAAATGAAGACTTTCTACATCATTACAGAAAAGCACTATACACTTGAAGGAAAACAAACGTTTGTAAGAACAACAAAAAACTGTTTATAGTATATTTTGATATTTGCCAGAATTTACTTTTAATTCAGTGTGAGTATTTTAGAATTTATATCTGGTAAAAAAATGTATTGCTTAGCTTTTTCCCCTACTACTAAAGCAGAAGGATATTGATTACCTTCTTAAATTTTTTTCCCCCAAATCTTTGACATTTCTCTGTAGGAAAATGTAGATTTTAAGGCTAATGACTCATGAAGTAGAAAGTAGGACGTGAGTGGATGTGTGTCCAGGCTGTCACAGAAATGTTTTTCAGGCTCAGCATGGGCCCCTGTTCCCAGGTAGTTCTCAGGCTGAGTGTCGAGTGCCGACATTACAGTGGTGTACGCTGCTCAGGGGTTGAGTCAGGCGGAGGTCACTTCATGTGTTTTACTGTGACGTTCTTACTTAATGTGTGTTCTTAGTAATTTTCTTTGCTGGTGTTTCAGGACTACAGGAATATGTGGAGGCTGTCTCTTTTCAACATTTCATCAAAACACGATCGTTAATCAGTATGGATGAAATTAATAAACAGTTGATATTTACAACAGAAGACAATGGGAAAGAAAACAAGACTGTGAGTATCTAAAATTATAGTTCACATTTGTTACCTAATTTATATAACAGTGTAATGATTGTAGGAAATTTATTGGCTTGTAACGATAACAAGATTGAAGATGAGAAATGTTCTTTTTTTTTGTTGGAGAGATTTTCACTGTAGGGCGCGTGCGCTCGCCAGACAGACAGAGAGAGACATAGAGACAGAAAGTGAGAAATCACCCCCCAGGGGGGATGGTCACGCCGCAATCCCTTCTCCTCCATTCTCCTCTCGGGATCTTGGGCACGCACGCACACGCGCCCGGCGTGAGTTTTAAGCCACCGGGTCCGGGACACGAACCGCGGTCGACTACATGGGAGTCCAGCGACATAGCCATTACGCTAACTGCTGGTTCCCGAGAAATGTTCTTTTTAAAATATGGTTTCATAGATTCTCAACTAGGGAAGAGTCTATTTTAAGTGGATAGAAAAAGAACAACTGTAGGTATACTAGGGAAAGTAGTACTCTTCACCTAAAGCAGTACTAAGAAGTTACTCTAAGACTCCTTTAGATTTTACCATGTACTTTTTATAAGCATCATCTCATTTCATTCTTTTATTAACTTTATAAGACTGATCATACCCTTTTTTTTAAAAAAAGAATTATTTTATTTAACTGTATTTATTTATTTATTTACTTATTTTTTAATTTGACCAGAGGTGGGCTGGGAGGAGAGAGAGAAAGAAAGAGAAAGCAAGCCACTAGATCCGGGACTCGAACTGTGGTTGGCCATGTGGGAGTCCAGCACCTTTAACCACCATACCACCTGCTGGCCTGGGTCATCCCTGTTTTACAGAAAAGGAAACAGGCTTTAGAAAATTTAAGTAATTTACCAAAAAGCCACCTATCTGGTAAGCGTGACAGAGCTAATATTTGGAACTGGGCATTTTTAATCTAGCCTGTGTCCTCATTCATTCTGTCAGTGCTTGCCTATTTATTTAAGAACTATTAAAAAAAAACATTCATTTACTTTAATTTGACCACACACACAGAGAGAGAGAGAGAGAGAGAGAGAGAGAGCGCAAGAAAGTGAGAAAGCAAGCCACCAAGTCTGGGACTCGAACTGTGGTTGGCCATGTGGGAGTGTCCAGTGCCTTCACCACGCCACCCACTAGTCCCAAGAATTATTTCTTTATTTATATTTCATTTTTAATTTTGACCAGAGAGGGACAGAAGAGAGAAAGTGCCAAAGCAAGCCACCAGCTCTGGGACTTGAATCCTGGTCAGCTCTGTAGGAGTCCAGCATCCTTAACCACCACGCCTCCTGCTGGCCCCACCAGTGCTTCTTAAAGTGTGCTGCAGGGATTCCTTGTATCAGATACCTACCTCAAAGGCTTGTTAGAGAATTTGACTTGGAGGTTTTTAATTAGGCAGTGGATAGCACTTTATGCCTAAGTGCTCAGTGTTAGTTGCTATGAAGTAATTGTATATAAATAATACCGTTAACCACTCAACTCCTAATGCCTATATCTGAAATTATGTAGTCCTTCTGAATTAAGAAAAGAGAAACTTAGGTAGTTTGACTTTTAAACAAATACTATTTTTTCCTTCTGGATTTTGGGATATAATATTTATGCAGCAAGATAGATTATTTTGAATCTTTGCCTTCTGAGATACTAGTGTACTTAAAAATAAAATTAAATGCCTTCCCCCCCCTTTGCTTTTTCTCATTTTATTTCTCTTTTTTTTTTTTTAAATTATTTTTGAAAACACCACTCCGAAATGCAGACTAGGTTGGCAGGAGTTGGAAGAAGCTGTAGAAATACTGTTTATTTTCTTGAAAATCGACTAAAAGGTTAATATTACAAAATGAGACTAATTTGTAACATGACAAATATAACTTTAATGAAGCTATATATTTTCTCAACTTTTAAAATTATGTGAAGTTTACAAAGGAGGAAATACATTTGGAGAAGTAAAATTCTTTCAGATTTTTGATTCATCTAGTAAAGCTTGAACTCTACACAGAAGTAAGATTTCACTCTGTTGCTTTCCTTTTTTTTTTTTTTTTTTTTTTAATTGCCAGAGAGAGTACCCTTGCCAGAGAGAGAGCTGGGGAAGAAAGCACCCCCAATAGGGTGTGGTCGTGCTCTAGTCCCTTCTCCTTCGTTTCTCCATCCTGTCAAGATTTTGGGCATGCTTCTGCTGTATTTTTCAAGCCACGGGACTGGGTTTTCAGTCCTGTGACCAGCCATGTGGGATCTGGCTCCTTTAGCCACTAGGTTACAGGGCCAACCTTGACCCTACATCGTTCATAACATTTAGGAATGTTACCATACTTTCCTTTTAAGTTTTCTCTGTGTCAAAATGAAAATATCAAAGAAAAGGCCAAAAAGAAAAAAACAGTAAATGCACTGTTTTCAAGTCTTAGGTACTCAGTTGTTATAAGATTGTCGTGCTGTAGTGTGTGCTTTTAGAATGATTAAGACTATGTTCATAAATAATTTCTTTTTAGTACCAAAGATTTTTGGTGCTTAAAATTCTTAGAATTAAAAAGGGAAAGTTATTTTCCTTTGAATTGCCTTTTGAGAATGTTGTGAAAGCTATAAATTTTACTTAAAAAAACCTTTTCATTATGAAAAACTTCAAATATAAGAGTGAAGGAACTGGAAATAGAGCAAACACCCACATCCCACTGCCTCAGTTCACTAATTGTGAGCTTCGGTAATACTTTGTCTACTTTTTTTTTTTTTTTTTTAGCTAAAAAATTTATGGTAAATTAGAGATGTCATGATGTTTCTTTCCTGAATAATTTACCATCCTGGGGCCAGCAGATGGTGTAATGGTTACGTTGCTGGACTCCCACTGCAGTTTCAGTCTTCGACCTGGCAGCTTAAAATTCACATGGGGCATGTATGCATGTGTACCCGAGATCCCAAGAGAGGAATGGAGGAGAAGGGATTGGGGCATGGCCACCCCCTTGAGGGAGTGATTTCTCACTTTTCTGTTTCTGTTTTTCTTCGTATTTGCTCTATAGCAAAAATCTCTACATGCACACACACACACACACACACACACACACAATAATAACTCATCATCTATCCTAAAAATTGCATTTTCTGCAATTTTCTTTGTCCTGGTGGGCGTTCATTACTGGAAGTTTGTTAATGTCTAACATCCTTCTTTTTCCAAGTCACCCTCTTGATCGTCATGGAGTGCTTTCTGTCTAATGGTAGAAACATGAACATTTTCTGAAGCAAGGGTATTATTTATAAATGGCTTATGAAACACACTCCCTATGCCCAAACACAGTGGACCCTTTCTAAAAAAGGTCCAAGGTCCCTAAAAGTTGGTAGAACCAAAACATAGCAGGTACTTAATAGAGCCCTTGGAAAAGTCATGGTGCTTTTTTGTATTAAAAACAGAAAAAAATATGTCCTGACTTTTCCAATGACTCAATAGTTTAAAAGGTTGGAAAGCAGGCTTTGAGTAGTCATCGGTTCTGCCACTAACTAGTTGTGTTGCCTGGCTAGGTCTCGGACCTGGCGTTGTGCGCTCTGTGATGGGGGTGTTGGACCAGGTGGTCTCTGAAGAGTCCGGGTCATGTTGGGCGGTGTGAGTTAGATGCACAGCATCCGGGTGATCTTTGCGAAACTCAAACCAGATTCTGCTTTTTCCTTGCTTAATTTTAGAGACTCCATTACCTATAAGTAAAGTTCACGTTTCTTTATGCGACATTTTCCTGGTCATCCTGTCGCATACCTTACTTTAACCTCTACTCCAGTGTCCCCTAGTTCCTCCCGTGTAGGACATAGTGCCCCCCTGCACACCTTCACCATTCCCATGCTAGAATGGCCTCTGATGTGGTTGCAGCTCCACTCAGCTGAGTGCCATAGTCTTGTAATTGCAATTTAGGGCATTACCTTTACAGAAAGAACCAGCAGAGAGAAATTGATGTGGAGATTGACATGAAGGTGGTAATGATGATAGTATTTCATTTGTGTTGGACATTACACCAAGAACTTAGTAAATGCTATCTCATTTAATCCTAAACCTCTGAGGTAGGTACTGTTATCCCATTTTGCAGATGAGGAAACTGAGGTTTAGAGAGATGAAATAACTTGCCCAGGGGCATACACCTTATGAAGCAAGGTCCTGGAAGAGGTGGGAGGAGATGGGTCAAGGTCATTTGGAAGAGTTAACCTCAAACAAGAGGAGGGACACCTCATCATCTGAGACTGAAGGATAGAAGGTAAAGATGGGTGTGGATGTAAATAAGTTTCTTTTCTCTTTCTTTGGTAGGGGTAAAAGTAATCGAGACATTGTGCTAGGTGATCTGAGAAACCACCGGATCAATTAAATTAGGTGAATCAGTTAAATTTGTCTGCTGGAAGTGAAGCATTTTGGGATTTAGTAGGAGATTGAGGAGAGTGGTTAAGGTTTGCTGGAATAGTGTTTGAAGAGGCTAGAGTTAGTTAGAACCATCGAAGAATATATAACAGGATTGGTGAGTAATTTGCAGTGGCACAAACTATGTAGGGTGATTACTATGTTTCTACTCAGTGGCACTCAGCTACCTGGGCACCACTAAAGGACTAATAAATTGCTTTTAGTATTGATCCCAGATTGTGTTTGTGAGGCAGGTGCAGTAGAAAACTTAGAAGTCTGAGGGAGTTGAGGAGGTAGTCAGAGAGTAATAAAATATGCTCAGCAGTTCTGGGTAAGAGAGGAAGAGAGGCCAACTAAGTGACTTAGAGCATGACTGCATCTCACGCTCGGAGAGCTATTTTGATTTATCATTTAAATAAATGATTTTCATACTACAAAGGCATTAGGCCTTGTTTCAGAATGTTATTGTCTTGTCAAGGGAAGTTAGAAATACAGGTTGAGTCTCCCTTATCTGAAATGCTTGAGACCAGAAGTATTTTGGATTTCTTTGGATTTTGAAATATTTACATATACATAATGTGTTATTTTGGGGTGAGACCCAAGGCTAGATACACAGTTCATTTGTGTTCCACATACACTTTGTAATATATATTTCACCTAAAGGTAAATTTATACAATATACTTAGTAATTTGGGGCATTGAACTATCAGAAAGCAAAGGTGTCATTTTCTGATCTATCCATATAGACAGGCTGTGGCTGTTTGGCATCACCCTACAAGGGAGCTTGAAGGGTCTTTTCTCCCTTGGGGACAAACTGTGTTGTCTGCCTACACTTGGACTGCAGCCCATCACAAGGGATTAGGTGTTGAGTATTCTGCTTGTGACCTCAGGTTGGTGCTCAAAAAATGTTGGATTTTGGAGCATTTTGGATTTTTGGATTAGGGAGCTCAATCTGTATGTAGTTGGATTTATAATGATAATAGTACTAGATTTCAATACCGTCTTGAAGTCATCTGGTCCAGCTCCCTGTGTAGGGTATTCTTGTAACAGCCCAAATAGTTATTGGGCCAAAGAGATGGTTTTACTTAGAGAACATTAGTATGACTGATCTATACTGGTTTTGTCTCTGTAATGAATGTGATACATGCCATATTCTTTCTCACAGTGTACTTTGTGTGTGTGTGTTTGTTTTTTGTTTTTTACCAGCCCTCCTCTGATGCACAAGATAAGCAGTGTGGTACTTGGAGACTGAAAATCACACCTGTTGATTACCTCCTGGGAGTGGCTGATTTAACTGGAGAATTGATGCGGATGTGTATTAACAGTGTGGGGAATGGGGACATTGATACCCCCTTTGAAGTGAGCCAGTTCCTACGTCAGGTTTATGACGGGTTTTCATTCATTGGCAACACTGGACCGTACGAGGTTTCTAAGAAGCTGTATACCTTGAAGCAAAGTCTGGCCAAAGTGGAGAATGCTTGTTATGCCTTGAAAGTCAGAGGCTCAGAAATTCCGAAACATATGCTGGCAGATGTCTTTTCAGCTAAAACAGAAATGATTGATCAAGAAGAGGGCATTTCTTAGAAATGCTCTACTCAGTTATTCTCTTGACACTCCTAAGAGACCAATTTATAAGACTGTTATTTGGTATTTCATTTAACTTCATTGTGGCTTTTAAATAGAAATGTTTTCAGGTGTATTTGTTTTAAATTGTATACAAGCTGTATATAAAAGTATCTAAATGAGTAATTTCTTATATCTTATTCATGAAAGTTTGCATAAGTGTGCAAGTGTTGGCATAGATGCCTATTTGAATTTTTGCTGGTTAACGTTTGTGTATCTTTGTAATGTGAACGTGCTTTTCTGCAGTCTGTTTTAATGTACTTTGTGTGAATTTGGAGTGGTCATTTTTTGTGGATGCCATTTATAATTTAAGTTGGTGGTTTTGTTATTTATAAAGATTTCTTAGTTAGACTTCTGGACTTGAGCTTCCTGTTTAAATTTTTCAATAATACTGTGCCAAGATTCCAAAATAGGCTCATTCCATGGAAAAAGAATGAAAAATTAATGTTATCAGTATGTTTTAATTTAGGTACAAGTTTATGAGGTATTATAGTGGAAGTTCAAATTCTGTTCTGGCTAAATTTAGGCCATTTTGAATTTTTATGAAACAGCCTTCCAGAAAATTAGTAGATACTCAGATGTTAGTTTCTCCATTTATTTTTTATTCTTTATTACAGGTCTGGTAGGAAATTAGAGCTAACATTGTAGTATTTTCACGGTAAAGTTGAGTTGAATTATATACTTGTACATACAATTGAAAAGCTTTTTAGTAGTGATTAGTTAGCTTTTTTTGGTCATTGTTAGGCATGTGTGGAGGCTATCTTACAGCATCTCTTTAGGAATTACATTTACATAGTTATAAAGAAGTTTTGAAACACTAAGTTAATCTAAACCTTTGTAGTTGTCCCATGCTATTAATTGATAAATAAAACTTGCCAAAGAAAATCTCTTACATACAATTCAGCAATAAGACAATTGTCAACATAGTTGAGGATCTCAGTGGTAGTCTCCAGTGATATTTAGAATTGGGATTTGCCTACTGAAATCAGCTATAGATTATTGTTAAGTGAAACTGTCTCAAGCATGACACTGTCAGCTGACATTTCCAATTGTTTTTGTGAGTTTTGAGAATTTAGATCCTGGATATTATTTTTGGAAAGATTAGCTCTGTTTGTAAGGGCTGGTTCTTTGAAAATGTAATTTTCAAAAAAAAAAAAAAAAAAAGGAAGAAGAAAGAAATCACCTAAAGGAAAATAAAACATAGACATGCCTAATAAATTAGTTTTCTTTGTTTCTTTGGTAGCGGGTGGGTTATTGGTTTCCCTAGTCTAAAATATACTGTCAGCCCCAATAAATTGTTTTTCTTCTCCCACAAAACACTGCTTTCTACTAACTGGGATGGTTGTTTAAAAAAAATGTTACCAAAAACGTGGAGGAATTGGAACTTTCTTACGTTGCTAGCAAGAATGTATATTACAGCTGTGTGGGAAAAGTTTCAGAAATCCTCAATAAGTCAGAGCTTACCGCACATATTACCCATTAATTCCACGCTTTGGTGAATTGAATTATACGAGAATCGAAAGTAGGTCCTCACAAAACTGTGTACGTGAATGTTTGCAGCAGCATTGTAAGAGTTAAAAAGTAGATGGCACACCTGCAGAGCACAGTGATTAAGCACGGTGCATGGAAAGCCACGTTCCATGTGACTGGCCACAGTTTGAATCCCGGCCATTGCAAATTGGAAAGCATGCCAGACGTGTATGTGTGTGCCCCACATCCCAACAGGATGGAGAAATGGAAGCAAGGGGGTTGTGGTGGTTACAGGGGTGCACTCTCTCTCTCCTTGGTGAGCACATGCACCAACTGGCACTTATATACACACACAAAACAAAAGCAGTAAAAAAGTGGAAACAAACCAAATGTCCATTAAATGAAGATTGGGTAAATATGGTATACTCCTACAGTGGAAGATTATTGAACCACAAAAGAGAATGAAATAGAGCTCTTTGCTACATCATGGCCAATGTAGACAACATGCTACATGAAAGCAACTGGACACAGCTACGTATGTGATTCCGCACATGTGCAGTGTCCAGAATGCGGGGAGGAATGGATTGGGAAACACTGCCAACAAGTAGGGGGTTTATTGTGGGGTGATGGAAGGTTCTGGAATTAGGTAGTGGGACAGTTGCTCAGCCTTGGGAGTATACTGAAAACACTGAGTTGTCTGATTTAGAATGGCAATATTTATGTGATGTGTATATCAATTTTTAAATTTTTTAATAGGTCTTGGTTCTTTGTAATTTTACAAGGAATTATCTGGAACACGAGCACATGGGCATGCCCATTGTGCACAGGGAGGTTCCTGGATGTGAACCCAGGACCTTCCCAGATGGGTCCAGTTATGCTGGCAGTGTGCCAGCAATGGCCCTGCTTGGGCCCTTTCTATTGTTTCTTGGCAGTAAATTTTGATAAGTCTAATTTTCTCAGGATTAGTTTATTTTGTCTCAGTTTTCAGGTTTTTTTGGTCAAGTATTAATAGTATTCTTTTGTTATATTTATACCCTGTCTGTAGCCATAGTGTTAATTTCTGTCATCTTTGTACACAGTTTTTCAAGTCAGTTTTCTGAACTGTTTGTCCATTCTGTTAGTCTTCCCTAAGAACTGAGTTTGGCTTTGTTCTTGGTTTTCTAGTTCACTGAGTGGCATACTCTTAGCGCCTTTCTTCCACTTTTTTTGGGATTTGTTTTCTAATTTTTACATTTGTTTATTTTTTTACATTTTTTTAAATGAATTTTAGGCTTTTTCACTTAGTCTTGAACCTTGGTTTTCTATTTATTTGTTAAGAGGTTTTTATGTTAGGATGTGTGCTTGCCAGAGAGAGTCAATGAGAGGGAAAGCGAGAAATTGGATGGTTATCCTGCAGTCCCTTCTCTTCCATTCTCCTCCCTTGATCTTGGGCACATATACCTGGCATGAATTTCAGGCCACTGGGTCTGGGACTCAAACCACAGTTGGCCATGTGGGAGTCCAGTGACATAACCGCTACTGGCCCCTTGAACCTTGGTTTTATAATTAATATCAGTAAGTGTTTATAGAGTGCTTATGGGTAAGACAGTGTCCCAACTAGTTTACTTCCCCTATAGGGCATGTGTGCTAGCTAGAGAGAGGAAAGCATCCCCGCAGTGGGGTGTGTTCGGGCCACAGTCCTGTTCATTTCTCCTTCCCGTCAGGATTCTGACCACACACGCACATGCATTTAGTGTGTTGTGCAACCCACAAGGGCTGTGATTGGAATGGGGGTCCGCCTTATGGGATCTGTCTCAAGAACCACAGGGCTACATAGCCCATCCTAATCTTTCTTCTTCCTCTCTCCTCTTTTCCTTCTTCCCCTCCCGTACTTGGCCCAGAGGTCATAGAGAGTGGGAGAGGAGAAATCACCCTCAGGAGGGCATGGTCGAGTTTGGGGCATGCACACATGAGCACCCAGCATGGTTTTCAAGTCACCAGGGCTGGGGTTCAGACCACAGTTGTCCTTACGGCATCTGGCTTCCTTAACCACTAGGCTGCAGGACTGGCCTGTTCTTTCTTCATGGAGAGCAGTTGGTTTTCCAGAAGATCTTACAAGGTCCACGTCAGCTCCTCATCTGGAGTGGCTCATCAAACCACAGAGCGAGTCCTAGTTTCCATCAGGGTCAGTGAATTCCCAGGACCGCCGTTCAGCACACTCCTTTTGAAATTCTCTGGGTCTGCTGAGGGATTATGGCCCTTGCCAGTGTCCCTGGGTTCGTTATATGTAGAGCCACTCAGAAATCCAGAGTGCCTCACGGTCAACAACTTGTCTAGGTGGTAGGCGTTACATGTGGCACAAAAATTTGTGTGTGGCTTGTAAAGGTTTGGGGTGAGGTATGCATGTAGTTGCTCTGGAACGCGTCTTGGTACTTCCATGCATAGAGGGCAAGTGGATAGAGACCAGCAATATCACAGGCAGGTGGCATTGGCCTTCAGTAGTGAAGGTGGGGCCACCCAGGAGCTGAAAAGGAGCTCAGTAAACAGGTTTTGGCCATAGGCAATGGGATCATAAAGTGAGGGGAAGAAAATTGTAAATAGCAACTACCACCTCAGGAGTTAGAGAAATGAGGACTTTCGTAACAATATATATTTCCTCTTTTCTTTTAAAAATAATTATTTAAATTTTATTTGTTCTTAATTGCTTTTAAGTTCTGGTCAGAGAAAGAGAGGAAGGGAAAGTGAGAAAGCAAGCCACCAGGTCTGGGACTTGAACAGTGTTCGAGTATGTGGGAGTCCAGCGCCCTAACCACCACGCCACCCGCTAGCCTCTTTGCTTCGTAATACATACGTTCTACATTCACCGGTTGTGCCTTTCAGGGTGTGTTATTGGCTAACCTTTGAGTTTCATCTTCAAGCTGCAGGATGGCAAAGCCAAGCTGTGTCGCCCTGGCAGGGGGGTGAGCGTCGGAGGCGGAGACAGTGACGGAAGGCCATCATGCCCGTCACGTGAAGGGTAGCTGGTCGCAGCACAGTAGATGAAAGCACGTGGTTTGAAGTTTAAATGTAGTAGGGGGGTGTGAATGCCGGGTAACCGGAGGGGAGGAGTGCGCTGGGCAGCCTGCCAATCTTTTCTAGACTTGTCTGAACTCTGGTAGGAGCTGGAGGCCTGGAAATGTACTCCTCGTTTCTGGTGTTCAGTGTTTCTTTCATACTCCACTAATGAGAAGCACAAGAACTATTTGGAAGGCAAAAAAGACACGCACCATTATTGTTCCCGAAGCAGCAGAGGCAGGCGACCGGGCTCTCCAGGGTAGCATACGTGAGGTTTTGCAGGAGTGTCCACGTTCTGCTAGTCACCTGCTCAGCCCTGCAGGCAGCTGGGCTCATCAGCTGGGGGGGCTTCCTGTAATTCCTTCGACTTCTTGATTTCCTGCACTCACTGGCAGCTTTCCCTGCCCTTCCTTTCCTCCAGCCGTCCAGTGTTTTGGAAGCATCTGTGTTAAATGCTTTCCTGAGTATAATACCTCAAGTGCTTTCTGTTTTCCTGAGAAACCATAGAGTTTTCACATAGGAAATGCAGAGGTCTGTAAGCATAGAAAAGGATGGCCAGCCTCTGCCAATAGGAGAAATACAAATTAAGCTGTAAGTTACACTTTTCAGGCACCAAATAGGCAAAGGTGTGAAGTTCCCGAGCTCTGTTGGCCTGGGGGGAGTGGGCACTCCCACGCGCTGTGCAAAGTGGAGATCCATAGTGATTGATCGTGGCCATCCCTGTCAAGTGTATTCACACACCGGTGAACTTCAAAAAATGCTCATCCCAGCCCTGTTTGAGATACTGAAAGTTCACAGTGTAGGTGGCTTCCCTGCAGGGCGAGTGAAGTAAGTCGAACTGTAGTCTTGAGTTAAATGCTGAAACGCCATGAGAATGAGACGGTGCAACAGGGGAGAATC